ACTTTTGTTTGATTCTTAAAAAATTTTTAAATTTCTTCCCTATTTTCTTCTATCATCTACTTATCATCAGAAATGTTTTGCTCAATCCTATTCAATATTAAGAAGATTGTACCTCATGACCAAAATGGAAGCAATCCAGGAATGCAAAGATGGTTTAGCACATGCAAGTCAATGAATGTAATTCATCACATAAAAAGAAATAAGGACAAAGGGCCCACAGTCATCTCAATAGATGCAGAAAAAGCATTTGACCAAGTCCAGCATTCACTCATGTTTAAAAAACTAGAGAAAATAGGAGTAGAGGATCTTACCTCAATATCATGAAGGCTATAGATGAAAAACCCAAGGCTGTCAATATGCTGAACAGAAAAAACAGGAAGCATTTTTAAAAAAATCTTGAACAAGTCAAAGACATCCATTCTCACTATTCCTATTTAATATAGCATTAGAAATTCTAGCCAGAGCAGTTAGACAAGAGGAGGAAATAGAGGGGATAAAATAAAAATGGAAGAAGTCAAATTATCACTGTTCATGATATGATTGCATACTTAGAAGGTTCAAAAGGCTCCAGCATGGGCTGGGGATATAGCTTAGTTGGTTAGAATGCTTGCCTCCCACGTAGAAGGCCCTGGGTTCAATCCCTAGCACCACTACCAAAAAAAAAAAAGGCTCCAGCAGAACACTGCTGAGCTAACAAGTTCAGCAATGTTTCAGGTTATGAAATAAATATAAAAAATCATTGGCTTTCCAGAAGGGGCACAGAGTCTCAAGGATCCATTCTTTGGGGATACCTGTGGACTCTCTCATGTTACTTAATGCCTCATGGTTATGGATTTATTTTTTCTGTTAAAATATCCTTGTCTTTTTAAAAAATCTTTCTTTATCTGTAATCCCTACATACTTCCAGATTCTGTCAGTATTTATTTTATTCAAATTTGTATATCTATATGTGTGTGTTATCCATTGTTTTTATTCTTTTATATTTCCACCATAGCTCATATTTGAGATAATTCCCTACAAATGAATTTAGATTGATTCCTTTCTCTTAAGTCTGAGAGTGTGTTCCATCCATGCATAGGGGCCTCCTTCCTGCATTTCCCTCCTGGTTGGAGACTAGTTCAAATTCTCTGAGCTGAAGCAAGCTGCATTGGCCTTCATGCTCCTTTGTAGATATGTTTGCAAGTGATATTTTTACATGGGACATGTAATGAATCTTTGATCTATGGCTTAAAAACACTGTCTTACTCTACGACATCTTATACTTTCTTATTTGGTGATTCAAGTTGTCCATTTTTAGCATTGCAGTGATACAAATGAACCTTATTTTTCTGTTACCATATCATGCTTTCTATCACCATGCCTGTAGGTACATTGTACCTGTTTTCAAATTTCTCTTGCCCTGAGAAAATAAAATATATTGTTGTTTTTTCCCAGTGCAGAGTCATATGCCTGTAATCCCAGTGGCTCAGGATGTTGAGACAGGAGGATCTCAAGTTCAAAGTCATCCCAGCAAAAATTGAAGCACTAAACAACTCAGTGAGACCCTGTCTCTAAATAAAATACAAAAAAAAATAGGAATGGGGATGTGGCTTAGGGTTCGAGTGCCCCTGAGTTTAATCCCTGGTACCCACCCCCCCCAAATTTTATATATATATATATATATATATATATATATATATATATATATATATAATCTTGTTTTAGTTTTTTAAATTCACCTCTTACTCATTTCTTAAAAATTTTCTGTTACTTCCCAGAAGCTCCAGAGGCATTAACTTGAGGTTATTAGTCCCACTGGAGAAGAGCACTAGGTGTTGATCTAGTGCTGAGGTTCTGAGTAAGTGTCACAATCCAACACTTAAGATACTAAGAAAAGGATGAGTGATATGGTTTAGTGGAGGCATTTTGACTTTGGAAACAGGCAAGGTGGATTCTAAATCCCAGCCCAATTGTTTAATGGTTATAAGGCAGTTTTATGAACATCATTTAAAAGAAAATGTAGAATGACATTGAGGGTCAAAATATAGGCAATTCTTCAGCCTTAATGTTTCCACAACCTTGAAGATTTTTTTAAAACTCATTCTCCTGTGAAAACACAGACTCTCTTTCCCAACCCTTGAATCTGGGCTTTCCTTATTATTATTATGGTCCATATAAAGATGTGATCATCAAAATCATGTATTACTTGGATATCTAGAATCAAAATTCCTTGAATGCTTTTGCTTTTGGTTTCATAACCCTGTCATGTCTATGAGAAGAATCCAACATTGGTGTTCTGGAGGATGAGATATCTTGAGGAGGATGATCAAGATGCTCCAGTTGACAGCCAGCACATCTTCTGAAGTTCAGCAAACTTATCAACAATCAGCTAACCATATGCAGCATTCAGACCCCAGCTGAGTCCATCCTAAATGGATGAACAGCCCAATGGAGGATTATCATGAGGTAATACATTTTAGAGTATTTTTATCCAGTGATCAATAACTAATACATTCACAATAGACAGGCTGCCAAGATTCAATCGCATGTGGCTTAGCAGTTATGTAGCAGACAAGAGGTGCCCTTTGTTGATTTTCTTCTTTCCTAATTTAAAAGTTGGATTTCTTGATAGATAGTATTGAAGTTTACAGAAATATAGCAGATATATATGCATGTGATTGGTGCTAAAACTCTCACGGTTCCCGTACCACAGGAGGAAACAGCCTGGCCATTAGGTCCAATTTGCAAAATAAGATTTCCTTTAATCTTCTTGAAATAAAGCCTAACTGTTGAGAAAGATATCCATTTTCCTTTGTTTGCTGTGTGATATCTGAAAGGGAAATGGCTTTGTGCCCAGCATCATGTGAGAAATAGTGGGAGAAAGGGTGGTTTACTTTGGACACTGACCACTAACTCCTAGTCAGAGCTTCTTGCTCTTTCGGAAGGTAGTGTCTTGCCTGGGATTTGGCCTCAAGCAGGAATATTGGTAAAAAAGTGTATTCTTTTCCTTCAGCATGAAAAGGAGGATGTCAGCGCCTTCTTCTCCCTGAAGTCAAGGGAACTATAAATCTGCAAGCTGGAGTGTGTCTGCTGTGAGTTGAGATGTGTTTGGGACTTAAAATACAGTGAATTTTGAAGATATACCTACAAATATGTATACGCTTCATTAATAATTTTATATTGGTCACATATTAGGACCAATAAGATGATATTCTGCATATGTTGCTTAGGCCCTCACTTGGTTGCTGAGGCTGGCTTTGAACCTGTAATACTCCTGCCTGAGCCTCCCAAGACACTGGGATTACAGGCATGAACCACCACAAACATGTCTTTTCAATTTTTAATTTGAATGTAAGAAAATCTTCAAAAACACTGAATCACAATCTGTTTGTGTTGGACATTGCTGCCTTAGGGTATTGTTTCCCAGTTCATGTTATAGTTAAAGCTTCGTCCCGGGGTTTCATAAACTGACTTCCAGACCACTCAAGTATAATCGAATCAAGACTTTATTGAAGCACACTAGTGGCGACTGATCAGAACATAAAGATGTTCCCCTGATCAGCCCCGAACAATTGCAAGGGTGCCCCTTATAAGCCTGAAAACCGCAAAAGGGGTGTACGGGGGGTCTAGCCAATGCAAGCAAGCCGGTTACAGAAGTGAGACAGTGCAGTCAAGCGGAGGGAAGCCTAACCAATCACAGTTAGCCCAGTCACCCCAGTTACAGAAACAGAGCCCCGTTACCCTAGTTACAGAAACAATACCCCATTAGGTAGTTCCGTGTTCTCACAGATTTCTATAGTAAGAGGAAAAGAACATTTTGCCCTAGTCATGAACTTTCTACTTGGCATGATTATTTTACAGGATGAAGTCATAAAACAAAATGGAGTCACACTTGCTCCTACTATCACATTCAAAGCTCAAGCTACCTCCTGATAAGACTAGAAAGCAGTTGATATAATGTTATTTACATTCATAAATAATACATATATGTAAATAATACATTGATAGTGTTCCCACTGTTGACCGGTGACGAGTCCTTGCTTCCCCAGTGTTGAAGAATAACACCAGAGAAGAACGCTGAGGCAAGGTCAGAGTAGAAATTAGAAGTTTATTAAAGGACAGCATTAAAGAAGGGGACCCAAGAGGTGGAATCCGTGGAAGTGCGGTTGTCTCTCCACTTTATAGTATTCAGTGATGGAATGGCGGTGGGAAGGCCTGAAGGGTTGGGACACAGGTGGGCCAAAGCAGTAATCCTGGCACTTCCCAGTCAGCGTCTTTAAGTTTGCTGTTCATTAACATTTCTTTGGGATGGGCTATCTTCAAATCTGTTGGAGGCTATTTCCTCGCTTCATTAACATTCTGAGAGTTGCTCAACTTTTCCTGGAATTCATTCTCAACATGGCCTCCATTTTAGATTTCACTCGATATTAGACCCGAGTTACCTAAACTACACTGACTACCTAATTTTAAATCTGGCTTCAATAGGATCAAGGTTGATATCATAAAAGGTTAAATGCAAATTCTTCCTGAATAGTTCCAAATCCTGCTATTCAACAGAAGCCATGCCTTAGAATAGCTGCAGGTTGAAAGTCTGGGTTCAATGTCCATAACCCCAAAAGAAAAAGAAAATAGGCATGTGGGGCATGACTGAAATTCCCATGATTCCAAGTTAGGGGCCACCCTGGAAACTTAGAAAGTCCTTGTCTCAAAATTTAAAAAAAGGAAAAAAAAAAAAAGATAAAAGAATTGGGGACGTTACCCAGTGACAGACTGTCCTTGGGATAAACCCTGTACTGGAGTGAAAAGACAAAATAAAATCAAAAGTCGCCAAGGACTTGCCATTCTGTTCTCATTCATCCTTGGTTGGATGCAATCTACAGTCAGAGAGTTGGCTCAAAGCTCCGTTCCAGGGGGCGGGCCCTGAAGTCCTGTCCATTCAGAGGCATGATCATGAGATCTGTCCAATCCAGCCCAGAGCCCGTGAGGAGGGGGCTGGCTTCTGCCGTCTGGGACCTCTGGTTTCCGGAGCCCACTGCTATCCCGACAGGTCTTTACGCACGATCCACGTCCTTCTGTCCGCGTGGCTTTACCAGGAAGCGCAGGGGACCCACCAGAGAGCGCTGCGCTCCCGACCGCCAGGAAATGGTGAGTGAGCGGGCGCGTCTGGAGCCCGGGCCAATGCGTGGGACTGGCGCGGCGCGAACCTGAAACGGTGGGTGGGACACCCTGTCCTCTCCAGTCTGCAGCCCCTAGTCCTCCTCGGGGCAGCGCCGCTCTCAGCCGCCCTGGCCGTCCTAGCCGAGCAAATGTCCGCCGCGGCGGGAACCCAGCCCCCTCTCGGGTCACTGCATGGTCGCCTCGGCCCTGACTGAAGCCCTGTCTGGGCACCAGCCAGCCAGCAGCCCGGCCTCGCCCCAGCTGTGCAGTGAGACCAGGGACCATCCTCAGGAAGGGTCCACGTCTGTGCGTGGTGTTCCTGCGTGAGGATGGCTGGGATCTGCGGGGACCCCAGCTCCCCCTCCTCCTGGACCTCCCGAATGTGCGTGCGGGAAGCAGCACGTCCAACCCAGAGGAGCCTGTCCTTCAGCCTGGCTGTTCATAAATGCCTAAGTTATAGATAAATTCCTAGGTTTCCAGCTCCCTGTCCTTATTGCAATGACGAATTCTCCTCTCCAGGCTGTGAACTATTTGTCTCCCATGCTACATTTCAAATGGACACATCATTTTTTCCCCCCTAATTTTATCCTCCAAGTGCTGAATGACACTTTTTAAAAATTTTGTTTTCTGTTTTGAGCATTTTTCATGAGAGGAAAGCAGAGAATTGCTTGACCATTTGGGGAAAGAAATGTGTGTGCTTTACGCTTTGTGTTTCCTCTGTACAAAAACTTACCACAATTTTTTGAGTTGAGATTCCTCTCTGCAGAGGTCAGTGTGTGATATGTCCTCACCCCACTCTCCCATCTTTTCCTGGCCTTGGGTTTCAGAACTGCCTGACACAAGGTGTCAGAACTCCATGTCTAAATCCTCTTGGAGTGTCTAGTGTACACCATTCCCTGGGTCTTGTGCTCCCAGAGAGGAGTTGGAGGTGCGAGGGTGGAGCCTCTCAGGGGAGTAGCTGAATGTTCTGTTTCCCATTTTTTTTTTCTTTTTAAATCTAAAAGCATTTCAGTGTTTCTTTTATTAGTTATTGTGAATGTTGTAGGGACAGAGGAGGCAAGGCACCGAAGATAGCCAGAAACACTTTTGTTTGGTTGCAGCCAGGTTCAGAGGGCACAGCGTTTGATATAACAATGAGTCCCCTGAACCCTGGGTTCAGGTAGAATTTTATACCCATCATGTAAGTGGAGGGGCTCAGAAGTTCACAGTCTGCAGAAGTTCACATAAAAGCAGCTTTCTCTTTCACTGTTCTGGGCAAGTTAACCCTTCAAGGACAACACCTGAGAAGGGGAGAGCTTCTTCTCTTTCTTTTCTCTCCCTGCCAGCTGTTACATGGAGCCCAATTGGTAACTTCTCTTATCTTAGAAATGTAGATATATCTGTGAAGCCCCAGCTCAGGCCAGAGGCCTTGTTTACACATTTATACAAACTACTATACTGGATACATGTTTTAAAAAAACTAATAAGGGGTGTCTAGCACCTGGAGTGCTGATTTCTTCCCAGTCAGTGGCCGAGTAAGACTGGGCAATAGGAGAATAGGAAGTTTATCTACATTGAACTCTTTTGTAGAGACTCTTTTGCTGACAGTCCTAAAATTAGCCATGGTGAAGATTTCTAGAGAAGCCCAGTTAAGAATTTTCTGTGGAGAAAGGGGTTCCACTACAATTCCCCCCTTTAATGATGCTCCCCATAATTTAATCCTTTAAATTTAAGAGCATCATTACCATTATCTTGGCTTAAAGCCTTATATAATGCCAAAACCTTAGTTGTTGTCATCCTTTCAACAGCAACTTCTGCAGTGGACCCAATAGTTTTAATGCACAGTGGAGCCAAACGTGGGAGCAATAAACAGGTTAATAGCTGAATACCCACTATACCAGTTAAGGCTTTAAATCTACCAAGAGTTGAAAACCATCTCCCAAAAGCATGTTTGGGACCCAAACTTTAATACCCTTATAGGTATGAACTTGCATGTGTTCTAGTTTTCTTGTATTGTTGCCTTTATCCTTAATTGCTTATCTGTTGTCATCCACATGGATGCGACAATCTGAGCTGTTGAACTCTCCACATATTTCTCTTTCCTCAGCCAGTAGGTAATCTAATGCCAAGTGGTTTTGATAGTTTGCTACTCGCATCTGGGTCTGTTGTGTGGCTAGGAGGTCAAAGGCTGTGGCAGTCTGATTAATAATGACTTCTAGCACAGCTTGTAAGTGAATAATTCTGTTTAGCATGTAAATAAGAGTTCTATTGCCTCAACTGCCATTTTGTGCCCAGGTAGGGGGATGAGAAGTGGCAGTAGTGCTCTGGGGTGGCCAGTTACCTTCATCCCAAGATTGGTGACCTCCTAAATCAAGTTCCTTCCCAGTGAACCTCTTTTTTCTTTCCAGTTATTCATCTATAGCATTTCTCTGGTAAGACAGGTCCTAAATATATGTTTTACCACCTCTTGGTTATAGTAGATTGGCTTGACACATGGTTTACATGATTTCCACTGTTAGAATAGGAGTAGGGCAGAATCCCTTAAGGTTATCAAAGAAAACCAAGCTAAATGATAGAGTAACATTTTGGATAGCATAGGTTAGACAGTATAAATTAACAAAGCCAAACTAATAACACCAGACAAACCGTAGAAAACTTATATAAGCAAGATAAAAAAGTATAAGTGAAATTTTGTTACCCAGAGTCCAGTCAGTAGGAGTTACTGTTATCAAACCAGTAGCAAAAACCAAACAGAGAACTATGTATATGTCTAGAAGCAAGGAGTGGCAATGCATTACAGTATAAGAACTATCTTAGAGGTTGAAAGAGTTCATTAGTCCTGGTGGGAAGTTTATCTTTCACCATGCATTCATCAGCCAGTCCCTCCTGTGTGGCTGAAACAGGGCTGTAATCTCCTCAAGCGTCAGCCATGCATAGACCAGTCAGCTTCCAGAGTGACTGGAGCAGGGCTGTTGTCCTTCTGATCCTCAAGCTTCTCCAATCTTACTAGCAGTCTTTCTCTAACACATTGGTTGAGAACCTGTAAAGTTTTCACTAAGGCCTGAAGCTGTAGTCTCACGGTTAATTCTCCTATCTTTCTTAAGTCTCCCAATAGTCCCCTAATAAGAGGTGGGCCTCATGTTCATTATCTTATAAGGAGAGAATCCAGTCCTCTTAGTGGGAGTGGATCTAATCCTCAACAGTGTAATAGGGAGAAGTTCATCACAATGTAAGTGAGTCTCCTGACACAGCTTACCCAATTGAGCCTTAAAGTCCTGTTCATCCTTTGAACTTTACCAGAAGTCTGTGGCGTACAGGCAGTATGTAACTTCCATCTGATGTTTAAACTTTTGGTCAGTAATTGTATCACTTCTGCCCAAAAGCTGTCCCATTGTCTGAGCCAATAGTTATTGGGACACCAAATCTGGGAATAATTTCCCAGAGAAGCATCCTAGTATCTCCCTAGCCTTTTCAGTGCTGGTGGGAAAGGCTTCCACCTAGTCAGAGTAGTCACACACAAAACCCAAAAGTTATTTATAGCCCCGTGAGTGTGATAGTTCAGTGAAGTCTACTTCTAAGTCTTCAAAAGGTGCTCCTCCTATAGTTTGGATTCCTGGTGGGAGCTTGCCCCCTGACATGGATTGTTGTAAGCACATTATTTACAGATCATCTGGGGTGATGTTTGTGAGCCAGGGGACATAGAAATGTTGACTCAGAACTGTCTCAAATGCTGTATGTCCAACGGGTTCTCCTGTGGAACTGTCTGATAAAGGCTGGGGCTAGAATCTCTGGGATGGCTATGCTGGCCATCAGAAAATCTCCACCATCCACCTGGGAGAAAATTTTCTTTTTCAGCCTTAAACCACTTACTTTCATGCTGGGAATATGTTGGCTCCCATTCTGTTAGATGATCAGTCAGGCAGAGTGGAGCATTTAAACCTGGGACTGGATTTTCTTCTTGTTTCTTGCAGACAGCTAACCTGGCTTCTCTGTCAGCCCTCTGGTTGCCCTGAGCAACCACAGTGTTTCCCTTTTGATGACCTTGGCAATATATAATCATAACCTTCTTGAGAGCCCACAGTGCATCCAAAAGTTGAAGAATTTCTTGCCCATATATTATACTTTTTAAAAAATCCCTGAGTTCATTAGCCCCTTTTCCTTACATAAGTCCCTATGAACATGAAGGGCAGCAAATGCATATTTTGAATCTATGTATCTATCCACACAGACTCCTGCTGTCAACTGAGGTGCTTGAGTTAAAGCAATAAGTTTTGCTTTTTGTGCTGAAGTTCCCTGAGGCAGAGGTTATGCCTCAACAGTGGAGTCCAGAGTGACCATTGCATATCAAGCAAAATATACCTCATCTTTTATAAAACTGCTTCCATCTGTGAAGTACTCCACATCAGGGTTCCTGAGGGCTGGTCTGCCAGGTCTGGTTTATTGGAAAACATTATTCCATGACTTTAATATAATTGTGATCAGGTTGTCCAGGTTTGAGGGGCAGCAAAGTTGCTGGGTTTAGAGTCTGGATGACTTTAACATGGACACATGGGTTTTTACATAACATATCCTGGTATTGACCGTTCTCTCATTAGTAAATCAGTATTGTCCTTTGTACTCTAACAATGTCAAAAGTAAATGAGGAACCCTGAAATCCAAATTTTGTCCCATATTCAGTTTATCAGCTTCCAACACCAGAAGATCTGTGGCTGCAAGGGCCCATAAACAAGGTGGCCAGCCTTGGGCTACAGAGTCCAGCTGTTTGGATAGATGTCCATGTCCCCAGCACCTGAGTCAAGACTCCCATAGCCACTCCAGACTGTTCATGGACGTAAAGAAAGTAAAGCTTTGTGAGGTCAGGGAGCCCTTGTCCAGATGCACTGGGAGTGCTTGTTTAATGTTCTCAAAGGCCTTTTGCATAGTTGTCCCCCATATTAGAGGATCCTATTCTACCCCCTTTGTGGCTTTGTAGAGGGGTTTTGCAATAATTAAAAGTTGGGGATCCATAT